ATATATATATATATATATATATATATATATATATAAGATTTTTTTAAAAGTTAATAACACTAAATTATATGCTATTAAATTGGTCAGAGACCATACAAATTCTAGGCTATGTAATAATTTCTTTCAAAACAAGTGATTTGGTACTATTTCAAGCATGTTGAAAATATAAATTTTGAAATATATATACAGTCAAACTCATAATCAATCTCCCTGTAGGAATTGATGATCGCAACAGTGGACAATCCATCAAATGCTTTTGAATGGGCACTTGCTGAAATGATAAACCAACCTGAGATGCTCCAACGAGCCGTTGAAGAATTGGACAGTGTGGTTGGGAAAGAGAGGTTGGTCCAAGAATCTGATATACCTAAGCTCAACTATGTGAAGGCTTGTGCAAGAGAAGCTTTTCGTCTTCATCCTATTGCACCTTTTATTCCTCCCCATGTTTCTATGAGTGACACAATGGTGGGCAATTATTTCATCCCTAAGGGTAGCCATGTAGTACTAAGCAGACAAGAGCTTGGGAGAAATCCAAAAGTGTGGAGTGAACCTCACATGTTCAAACCAGAACGTCACCTGAAGAGTGATGGGTCTGATGTAGTTTTGACTGAACCAAATTTGCAGTTAGTGTCATTCAGCACAGGAAGACGAGGTTGTCCTGGAGTGATGCTTGGGACCACAATGACTATGATGCTATTTGCTAGGTTGATCCATGGCTTCACTTGGAGTGCACCACCCAATGTATCAACAATCAACCTTGCTGAATCCAAGGATGATACCCTTCTTGCTGACCCACTTGTGGCAGTTGCTAAGCCAAGATTAGCACCAGAATTATACCAACGTTAAATCAACTTTAGATTTAATATACCAAGGCAATAAATACATGTGGACTGAAGCAATACATATATGTCCGGTTATAATTATTTAATGGGAAGGAATCGCTGAATAAAGTTATTGAATGTAAAACGGATGTTATTGTCATGTAGGGTTCAAAATTATAGGCCGTTCCGAAAGATGATGTAATAAATAAAAATGTATTTGAATTTTTTAGGCTATTTAAATATTAATGCTAATGTTGTGTGGAAAAAAATTGGTAAAAAAGTTATTAAATTGATAAAAATAGTTATTAATGTTAATGTTGTGTGCAAAAAGTGTTGAAAGTTTTTTCATAGTTTAATAGCGAGTTCCTACCAACTATAGCAAGACCACCCGTTCAAGTTTGTCCCCTTTTAATGTATTTACCTCGTTGAACATGTTGTTTTTATGCATGCAAGTATTTTTTGTGTCAAAATTAAATAGAAAGACAATTATATAAATTAGAAAAAAAAAAGAAATATTTCGCATTTCTTAATTTTTTTTAAAATAAATAAAAAATAAATTATGAAGTAAGTAATTATTTATTCTATATAAAAAAGTGGGTAGTTACTTTTAAAGAGTAAGTGATTTAAAATTAAAAAGACATTTACAAAGAAAAGTTGTTTAGATTTTTTAGTAAATTTTAAAAAAGGTAATATATATATAGTAAAATGAAAACTAAACTACTTATTAAAAGGGGTATCTCTTATATATAATTGTATAAATTATATATTTATATATTAAGTTAATTTATGAACTAAATGAATCAAATTATACATAATTTTAATTAATTGATTTATTTATTAAATTTAATTTTTAATTTAAGTTTAATTCATTTAATTTATTAACTAAGTTTAATGAATTAATTATCAAATTAAATTTTAAACTATTTTTAAGTTTAGGTGCACCACTTATTTGCAGTAAATAAACAGCACATAAATATTGAAGTCAAGTGAAACATTTACCACACCGACAATCCTGTACCAAACCAGAACATATACCAAACTCTCCATCGATTCATAAATATTTCTTCACTGTCTTTTTCGGACCTAAAAATTAATGCTGCTACCCTAGAACCACCAGTTTACTATATTCCTACAATTATATGGGTCAGGCCTGTTTTCTTTTTCTCGTCAAATCTTCCAAGGCTTGTGGCTATCTTTTCTTGTTATAGTCACTGTCTTTACAATTATGTACGATCAAAATCCTATAAGATCTCACTTGATTGAAAAGTATTCCAAGGGAAAAAAAAAAAAACAAAACTCCCCCCAGGTCCCAATCCATGGCCTATAGTTGGCAACCTTCCTGAAATACTTTCAAACAAACCAACATATAAGTGGATACACAAGCTCATGAAAGAAATGAACACCAAAATTGCATGTATCCGCTTAGGAAATACCTATGTTAGTATGTTATCCCAGTGACACATCCCTTCATATTGGTAGTGAGTTCTTGAGAAAACAAGATGCAACTTTTGCATCAAGATCACTAAGCAAGTGCAGTGATCTCATCAGTGGTGGATACTTAACCACAATTAATTTAGTGCCATATGGGGACCAATGGAAGAAAATGAAGAAAATCTTAGCCAATGATTTGCTTTCCCCGCAGAAGCACCTATGGCTCCATGACAAAAGGACTGAAGAAGCTAATAACCTAATGTTTTACTTCTACAACAAATGCATAAATGTGAATATGATGGTGTTGGTGGCCTTGTGAGTATTAGGACTGCAGCAAGGCATTATTGCGGTAACGTGATCAGGAAAATTGCTTTCAATACAAGGTATTTTGGGAAGGCTAGGGAGGATGTAGGGCCAATTTTTGAGGAAGCACGCGTAGAACACGTTGATTCCATCTTTAATTTGCTTAAGTATATGTTTATGCCTTTTCTGTTTTTGATTATATGACATGCTTTGAGGGGATTTGACTTGGATGGACACCAGAAAAAAGTGAAGGAAGCCTTGAGGATCATCAAGAAGTATCACGATCCCATCATTCAAGAGAGAATTAAACAATGGAATGATGGATTAAAGGTTGATGAAGAGGAATGGCTTCATCTTCTGATATTTTGAAAGACAATAATAACAAAAAACCATCATTGACATCGGAAGAAGGCTTGTGCAAGAGAAGCTT